ATAAACTCCATACCCTAAGATAACCGTATAGTCACAGCATGAGGCAGAGGCTGATGGAAACAAGGCAGGCATATACCAATCATAGTGATGTCAATGATAAACAGGCCTCAAGTGGATTTTGTGAGACTAGATGAATGTATAATGTCATGTCAATGAGAAAAAAAATCAGTAAATATGTGAGATTGGCAGAGGTGAAGTTTGTTTATACTGGAGTAGAACTACAGTTATATTTCTGCAAATTAGCAAAAGAAATTAGATAAAACTCTACTGGTTTCATACTTTTATCTCTTCTTATATAAGAGGGGAGGAAGTAGTTAAAACTGGAGATCTAAACTAGTTATGCAACTCTACCTCAATAGGCAAGAAATGCAGTCTACTTCACTGCACAGAAGGAAACTGAAATGATTAGGTAAGATAGCATCATCATGCCATCRAGTGACCTAGGGAGCTAATGGCTCATAGGTTCCAAAGACAAAAATGAAATTTGGAACATAGAAATTTGATTATATTTTCACAGTATAGAGTTTCTGTGTAACCAAAATTTCTGATATAACCATAAAGTGAATGAATTATCCAGAGGAATGGATATAACTTTAAAATAAAGGCACCTGTTTTAAGAAGTCAACAATCTTTCACAGATTACTATAACCCAATTAAGACCATAATAATATAGGATGTTATTTCAGGGTAGCGAAATTGCATTAAAAATAATTCTGTAATTTCTGTTTTAAGGTTATGATAGAATGGCCACTTTCATCATGCATTTTTAAGCACAGTGTAAATCATAGTAATATTTTGCAATATGTTGTCTGTGATATTTCCCCATAAATTTCCTGCCCTAAGTAAAAAAAATACTATAATAATAGAAAGATGAAGAACAAGGTTTGTGTTATAATTCTATGATCATAGGATTTGAAGGGAAACCTAGATTTCATCTATTTCTCTTTCCTTTTTTGGAGACTAAATTATTCAGGCAAAAATGCAAAGAGCATAAATATCCTCTTTGGACCTCCTAGCAACTAGATGGGAAATGAAAATAAATTTTCTTGATGAGTTCCATAACCCTGCAATCTTTACATTTCAATAGTTGGCCCATTTAAGGTTAAATGAATAAAATAATGTGCAAATAAATGAACAAATTCCATGATTTTTTAAAAAGGACTCTCTGATAAATAGTCAATCATGCACCTCTACCCAGAAGGCAGACATTTCCCTTGTAGAAACATGGAAAAAAATGGATTCCTTCATTCATCCTTCTGCTACTCCTACCAATAAAAACAAACACATCCCATTCAAAGCAGAACATTTAGCTCTCTGTTAGCAACAGAAAGAACACTTCCCCAGCAACAGGAAAACCCGAAAAGGACATCTATTTTTAAAAATAAAATGTGAAGCCCTCAGCATTTTGCTGATTTAGTGAACAAGACAGAGAATAAATCTTATCCATCCAAATTAGGTGAATGGCCTATGGATTTTAAGAACAAATAGCCTGATTTTACATACCTTTTATTTGATTATTTGCTTTGTTTTTATACACCAGATCTTTTCCTGACATTTCTGCTGATTTCTCTGTTTATGGTTATTTGCACATATGGCCATTATAAGGCAGGAGGTGTCTCATTTTAAGTGGAAAGGTGGTAATTCAAGGAGTTCATTACCATATGAAAAATAGTTCATAGCCGTCTGTGCCACTGCTCAGTAGCAAGGTTTTGTAAAAGGAGGTGGTAAATATGCTTGAAGAAAAGTGATAGGAAAATGAACTGCAACTTTCTTATTATTGTTACATATCACAGTTTTAAAACAGAAAGAAACCTAAAGAAGCATTTGATTTTGAGCCCTGGCATTGTTCAATGATTAAAATAACAACCTACTTTATTTTATGTGTGTGTGTGTGCGTGTGTGTGTGTTTTACACATATAAGTGTTAATATGTGTCATATATGTTGGATCTTCTAAATTTACAGTTAAAAAAAAATGGAAGCTCAACAAATGATGAATTTTCACTTCAAAGATTTAATCCTATTTAATAGCAAAGGCAGGGTCACAAAGCAAATCTTCTCAGGTTTCTATTCTTTTCATTCCCCAGCCAATATTATGAGCCATAGATGTGATATCTCTTCCATTCAGTTGTGTGTACAATTAGTACAGTTTCCAATTTAACATTTTCATTGAAAACAAAAACATCACATAGGCAAGGGTGAGGACATGCCAAATTAACTTTGTTGCAACTAATGCATTACTATTTAAAAACAATAGTACTTTTTAGAATATGCTTATTTTCTCTTTTTAACTTAGTTGTTAAGCTAGTTAAATAGGAAGCAATATATTATTTGATTTTACCCTTTGTAAAAATGGAACTAGCTGAGGTAAGCCTTAAATATGGAGATGTATTATACGAGCTTGTTTTATGAGTAGATTGCTTTTCTCATTTCCTCCTTTGGCTGAAGGCAAAAACAAGAAGACAAAGGCTAATAACAATACTTAGCATGTCAGATTAAGGACAGAGATGGTCGAAACGTTTTAGTCTTTAGTTTTATGTATATACTTAAAGATGTAGTATACACATAATTCTGAATTACACACACACACACACACACATACAAACAGAGTCAAATAAGCTCATTCAATAAAATCATAAGGTGCTTCGGTCTACAGATAAAAATGTGAAAGCAATTGCTATGCACTTTACGATTTGGGCTGGTGAAACAATTCTCTATGGTATTATAATGGTGGATAGGTGACATTATGCATTTGTCAAAAAGAGTAAAGCAACTTATGCAAATAAAAAATCAAATCATTTAGGAAGTAGGCAGATCTCAGGAAACAATGAAGTTGACAAGACAATCTAACTGTATTATAAATGTATCAAATAACCTTACTGAAGGGATTGGGGAAGAGGTGCCCAACTCAGTAACTCTGGAAATGACTAAAGTCTGTAAGATTAAAAACAAAAGTAACTATGTGGGAACTGAGCTTACAGTTGATAAATCTGTTTCCCATGAGGGTATGGGCTAACAATTCTGATACTGCTATACATGTGCATTGAAATGAAACAAGTAAATGGAGATGGCAGGAGCCAGATTTGTCACTGATAAAGTAAGAATTATAGATAAGGGGAGGAAGTAGAGTGATTGTTTTGGTAAATGGAATTAAGTTGGAGACATCACTATATACTAATATTTAGCTTAATATAGAATGTTACATACAAAAATATACACTAATCCATGTATATACACCTATATGTATATATAGGTACATGGATTAGTGTATACCTATATATTATCCTTGCTTTGTCAGCTACAAAGGCTTACAAGAAATGACACCTCAAGCGGCAAGTAAAATTTCTATCCTGGTTTCTAATATCATTCTCCAATAAAAGGAACCAGGGTTTCTTAGAGAAATAGTTGATTCTAGACTTGGGGCATGATAATTCTGGAATATTTTATATCTATTAGAAAATAAAGAAGTGCTTAAGAATGAAAATAAATGGCTCCATATTGATTGGAGTTTGTTAGAGGGACACAGGACATCTGAAAAAGTTCTAGTGACCAAAGCTGGGACAATTTGAATAATAAAATAAACTGGTATTGAATTTTAACCTAAAGTTAAGATAAATACCCATGTGTTCATGTTTATATAAATCATTAAATAACAGAAAAGAGGCAAATCTCCAATGGAAAATAATTTCAAATAATTTATTTGTATACTCTACCCTCAAAAGGAACATAAATTCCCATTCTCTAAGTGTGGGCCACACAGAGTGTCTTCTTTTCAAGGAGTATAGTAAGAAAAGTGGAGAAAAGAGTAATTTCACAGTGTAGAAACTTGACAAACATTACTTCAGGTGATAAAAGCTCAATACCATCATTGATAGCTTGTATCTTTTACAGGTTACCTAGGATAAGTGACTAAAGCTCTCAAGGTCTGTAAGTGTATGATAAGATCTACTGTGATGACCTTTTCCAAATATTAGATATAATACATTCAAATTCTTGCTACAATCTGGCCCATAATTAAGTATCCATAATAAAGAATTGTTTGTAATGTGCTTTCAATCTACTTTTTTATTTTTTTGTGGTTTAAAACAGTATTTGCTTTTAAGAACTATCATCTGGGGTACCATAACCTGGTAATACATATGAAATATACCATAGACTTTTAAGTATTTGTAATATTGTCCTTTTTATTTAGCTCTTTGTATCATTGTAGAACTGTTATTGAAGAGACTTGTGAACATTGTAATTTTATAATGGCTGCATCTGCTGTTAGCAGAGCTGTATATTATTTYTGCCTGATTGTTGGTCTTGAGTTGGCCCAGTATTTTCTCAAACTGTACCAAGCAAGAAAAAAATACCCATGCTGGGCTGTTTGAAGGTAGACTTCAGAGCACTCTTAAGTGCTCTGGAATTTCTGTTTAATATTGTTCTATAAAAGCTGCTATTGGGATAGTCTGCTCTTGTCTGTACCTTGACTACAGTCTCCTGTTTCCAATGCATTATTTCAATGTCGATTTGCTGGCTTTGACCCTGTACTTTGTTAATGAATATATGGCAGTTATTAATGTTCAGTAGAGATGGTGGATCATGCTAATAATAAGAAACTGGAGCTGATAAAATGTTTAAATAAAATATAATGTATTATATATTTCAAATTAGCTAGAGGATTTGTAATTATTTTACTACAAAGTAATAAATATTTTGAGATGATGGCTATGCTGATTATCCTGATTTGATCATCACACTATGTATATACATATTGAAACATCACATTGTACACTCTAAATTTGTACAATTATATCAGTTAAAAATAAAACTAGCCAGGCATGGTGGTGCACACCTGTAATCCTAGCGGTTTGGGAGACAGAAGCAGGAAAATTCAAAGTTCAAAGCCAGCCTCAGCAACTTAGTGAGGCTGTCTTTCAATGAAACAAAACAAAACAAAACAAAAACACACACACACACACACACACACACACACAAAAAAACCCAAAAAAAACAAAAAAAGGAAAAAGGGCTGGGACGTAGCTCAGTGGTTAAGTGCCTTTGGCTTTAATCCCAAGGACCAAACAATCACACACTAAAAAAAAAGTTGTTACCAAAATATTTAAATGTGACAACTGTTCGATAGGTCAAATTTGTTTAGGTAGTTAATGCTGTACATTTCCAGTTTCTCAAAAAGAAATTAGAGGCAATTTGTGACAATCTGAATATGTAGAAAAAATTGTTTTGTCTCACACTAAAAATGGACAACCTGGATATTCTGTTTGCTTGGAGGTTTAAAAATCACTGGCAGTGGACTGTTTCAAAGCATTTCACACTTGATTTTTGCTTCTTTTTGTCCTCTTTTCTTTTGCTAGACTGATTGGATATTGCTGTTGGGAAATCTAACTTCTTTCAATAACAACCACAGAGGCATCCTTATCATGTGCTTCTTAAGATAGTTTTGTTTTAAATTTCTTATTGATAACTAAAATACCCAGCATCTCAGATCTTCCTGTTCCACATTTCCTTTGTAATAACTGATATGAATAGGATGTTTTTAAGACCACATGGAATGAAACTGCAATCTGTATCAAATTAGGTGCTTACTTTGTTTTTTAAAATGCTAGCTGCTTCTGTAAGCATTCTTTTCCAACTATATAAGTCAATTTCCACAATTATGAAATAGCATACCTATTCACTTTGTTTCCTTTGCTAGCATACCTATTCACTTTGTTTCCTTTGCTAGAAAATTAACTTTGACTCATCCCCAACAGTATTTGTTTAAGAAGGTGGAGGGAAAGGCATAGCTCACAATTCTGTCACAAGCTTTCTTCTTAGTATTCTAGTGGCAGTATAACTTAAGTAATTTACTCTTTCAACATAAAGGATTGTTTCTAATTAGTTTTAACTAGCCTTTTCCATGGTGTCTTAGGAAATGATTCAGGCATCAATTTAAAATATATTTATTGAGCATCTACTCTGTGTCACACACCATCCTATTTTAGGTACTAACGAAATATCACTGAACAAAACAGAAAGACATGGTCTCATGGAGCTTATGATCTAGTGGAAGACAGATAATAAGAAAAATAGTAATTTGTTAGGTGTAACTACTATGAAAAAACTGAAGCAAAGAAGGGAAGCTGTTAGGGGAGAGGCAATGTTTTAAATGGAATGGTAGGGTAGGTTTCTTGGATGATATTGGTGGAAAGATTTTTCCAAATAGAGATAATAGGTACATATGCTCCAGGATTGAGATTGCCTTGTTGTTATATAAGATCAGGGAGCAGGCCTGTGTAGCTGGAACAAATTGTTTAGCAGAAATAAGGGCAGAGGTAGAAATAGGGGTAGGACTAGGAAGGTTAGCTAGTATAGGTTTTAAGGTCACAGGACTCTGGATGAGAAAATTGGGAAGGTATTGAATAGCTGGCAATTTTAGCTTGCTCTTAGTTCTACAAACTTCTGAATATTAAAAGTATAACCATGTCATATCACAAGTTGCTACAAACCTCAAGTTGTGCCCAAACCTAATTTACCATTCTTAAAACAAGTGAAAATGCCTTACTTCTGAAAAGGGAAAGAGATGTAGAGAATAAGATTGAATACTAAGGCCAGATACCTAAATTACAGCTTTAATTCTCTAGTTGGGATCTTAAACATTAATGAGCCTTCTTCTCTGTTTTCTTATTTACAGGTTGGAAGAGTATCTTTTTCCAGGGTTCTTGTTATCTCTAGTATGTCTTGGTTTCCCATAATACCTCAGTCCAGGCTGTATTTTCCAATCTTATTTCCTATTTATGGCTTGCTCTTTCTATACCAATAATATATTTTACTGTATTACACAGTTCAGAATTTTCCTGACCCAGCAACGTGGAAATGATGTATAAAGTATAGATTAAACAACAAAAACTACTTCGCTAGAATTCTCGTAAAATGGAACAAAATCAGGGTTTTCTTGGTTTTCTGTTTGACTGCTTGAATGAACCATTTTGTTTTCTTGGTGGGGACAAAATATAGTACAAGGTTTGTAATGCCTTTACTCACTGTTCTGAGAATTTAAGAGGAACGGATTAAGTAAATTACACTTAGCACAACAGTATTATTGGTAAGTGGAGGGAAAAGATTTCAGTACTGGGAAAGAAGAAACTAAGGGTCTTAGTTTTTCAGATGCCTTTATACCCCTTATAAGAATGAGATTGAAGTGTTCTGCATATTAAATCTGAAAATTTTCTTGTCAATTTCTTTGGAAACTGATTTCTAACATAAAATATGGCACACGTTAACAGTACGTTCGAGTAAAGGACTTCATTACAATTCAGGAAGAAGTGAGCGCTTCTACAAACTTTATCCCACTTTAGCGACAGACTGCCTAAGGTGTCAGTCTCAGGGGTTTCTATGCACACGGAGTTCCAGAGTATAGACMCATTTAAACTGAAAGTGTATAGAATGACATATGAAATTTGCTCACTCGGAAACACGAAAACATTGTATAAAGATAAAGCAATAAAGCAGTTAAAGGAAAAACCCGCTTTAGATATATGTTAAAGATCTCCTACTTGAAGAAAACCAAGCTCTTCTGATTACGCAAGGTGCTGTCCAATCACCAAATCCCCAAGAGCAAAGCTAAAGCCGATATGCCCATATCACATCTACAACCTGTAGCGCACCCTTGTAAAGAACTCACTGGGGACTGATAGAGACAAAGGAAAGTTTGTCAAAGTTTTGGAGAAAGGAACGGCGCGGGGAGCGTTTCAGACTACACTTTAAGCCCAGGCAGTGAAGGAAGCCGACTACCCCAACTTGTTCTTCGATCGCCGCTGGGCCAGGAGATGCGAGATGGAAGTTTTTCTACAGGAAATCAGTCTCCCGGTCCCCGTGACGCTGGAGATTCGCAGGGCCATCAGTCAAAGTCTGGGCTTCTGCCATTCTCGCTCCTCCCCAGGGCTGGCCAACTCAGGCGTTTGGGGAAGGACGAACGAACTCCGCGGACAAGCATTCCAGATTCCCAGCGACCCCGAGGCAGGGGTTTCTCTCCACTCGCAGCAATCCCGAATTGCCCGGGGCACCTAGCCCGGGGAACTTCGCAGCCKGCGGCAAGGGGACGACCCCGCGCCCGCCTCCATTCCTCCGCGCGCCGGCGCTATGGAGACGGTCACGAGACGCCGGCGGCTCCTGCGCCCGCCAATGGGAGCGCACGTCGCGGGGAGACGCGGACGTCGCTCTTCCAAGATGGCGGCGCGTCCGTCGCGAGCAGCCGGGCCGGGGGGAAGCCAGCGAAGCCGAGTAAAGCCGCCGCCTGGGAGAGGACTGAAGGAGCAGTTGCCGCCGTTGGCGGCTGCCCGAGCAGTTTTCGCTACTGCTACGGCTGTTGCCATGCGGCGAGGCTAGGGAGGACCTCACTTCCCCGGGGTGTAATAATGTTAACAGAGGTAAGCTGCGACGGCGGCCAGTGTTTACCTGTGAAATGGGGAAGGGGCCGGCGCCAGTCCATCAGGGAACATTTCTCTGGCCGGTGGGCCCGATCCCCCGCCGGGGGCCTGAGGAGCTGCGGGGATCCTACAAGTGCCCCCAGAGTAGAAGCTGTGCTGACTCAACAGAGTCCCACCACCTTCGGCTGCCGGTGCCTCGCCTTTCGCAATTGCCACTTGCCAAGTCTCCCCTGGCACTGGGCTCCCGCCTGCTGTCGCTACGTCCTAACTAATCGCTCCCTTCATGGTGTCCCCTTACATGCTGGTCCGTGGCAGCGTTGGCCCCTGTGCGTTGCTGCTGGTTTTCCTTGGCCCTAAGGTTTGTCCGAGGTTCCTCTTCTCGGGTCCATGGGCTCCAGGCCCTCCACCTCCGAGCTCAGTCAGCATCCTGGGTTTGCCGCTCCGCTAGATCCGTTTGTTTCCCATCCCTTACTTTGATCGCTTCATGAAGTGGACGTTTTCCATTAAGCTACACTGGGATAGCTTAGTTTGCCATCCCTCTTCTTTCCCCACATCCTGTCACCGTTCTTTTAAATCGTGGTAACCGCAGAGTTCAATGGAGCATCTGCCTTCTTGATTTGTGTATATGGTCCCCTTGCTACTCTGGAATGGTTTTCTCCTTGGACATGAAATGGAAGTAGGGCAACACTGACGAGCGAATCAATTTCCCTTTTCTAATGCCTACTGTCCATTGCACAAAACAGACTTTTTGAAGAAGTAGTTTGCCTTTACTAGCAGTACTTTAAGAGGGAGAAATTGAATTGGTGTAACTAGGTCCTTGATTAGCCCAGTTATATATAGTACATGCAGGTGTTACCATCATTGACTATAAAATACTGAAGTTTGTGGATTTGATAAGGTTTTTCTTAGAATCTGTACCCTTTAAGTACTGTGAGGATCCCCATATCAGGGACTATTTTAGGCATCTTTGTGGGCTGAACCTAAGATAGGAAGCAGTTTTAATGGACAATGGGAAGTAGTCCTACATGCACCAAGAAGGAAATAAAAACATTTATAGATGAGTGGCTTTTATGTGTGAAAGTGATGATAAAGGATACTTACCTTTGTCCTTGGAACTTGATGAACTCGGAGAAATGCCATACTTTGGTGTTTGTATTTAATCTATGTACAAATCCTGGCATTTGATGTGTTCGCTACTTATTTTTAGAAGTTAGAAGTTCTCTTTATATTTCYATATTCTACAGGTTTTTAATTTCTGTAGTAATTTCATTGTTGGAAACTGTGACTACATCATGAATTTCTGTTATCATTAGCAGATTAAAAAATGAAAGTTTTGTAAGCTGGGCACTGCAACATATGCTTATAATCACAGCTGCTTGGGAGGATGAGGCAGGAGGATGCCAAGTTATGAACCAGCCTGAGCAACTTTGTAAGACATTTTCTCAAAAATAGCTGGGGATGCAGCTCAGTGGCAGAGCACTTGCCTAGCATGTGCAGGCCTTAGTTTGTATCCCCATGTGACAGCAGAAAGAAAGAAAGAAAGAGAGAGAGAGAGAGAGAGAGAGAGAAACACATAAGTTCTGTGTTTTACCTTTAATGTGACATTTTGATGAGAATAGTTATCCTTATAGGTTTTCACAGGTGTCTCTAATACATAATGTTTTATAAGGCCATCTTTTGATAAAACTTGGCTGAATGTTTTAAAGATTTTTATTACTTTCACATGAAAGTGGTATCTGACTAGTAGTGGTGTCTTGATTTGTGAAAATTGGACTTCTGAAGTTTGTGTATTTACTATAATTTTGTTTGAGCAAAGTATTTTAAACAGTAATTAAATGACAGTAGCAAGATGTATGTTAGTGTTTTGTGTGTGTGCCTTCACAAGTTTGTAAGTGGCAGACCCAGGGTTTTAACCTTGGCATTTACTACAGAGCCATTCTGTTAATCACTACTTTGGATCGCCTCTTCAGAGAAAGATCTAGATTAAATTGTCCTTGGATTTCATTTATAGTTTTCAGTATTCATTTTTATGGATTAGGAAACTGAAGCCTAGAGAGTCATCCAAGGTTAAAAGATTATTAGTGACATAGTTGAAACTAGAATCTCATCTTCTGGCTCTTGAGCACAAAGTGATGACCATTTTGCTCAGCTGCTTTTCTTTTTCTTTTTTTTAAAATTTTTTTGGTTATATCTTTTAATATGGAATGATATTTTTATTGGTGCTGAGAATTTAACCCAGTGCCTCACCTGTGCTAGGTAAGCTTTCTACCATTGAGCCACAACTCCAGCCTCAGCTGCTTTTCATTTAATAGTTTTCACCTCTTTTGATAGGTTTTAAAACATGCTACTTCCTTGTCTGAATATTGTTAGTAAACTGAAAGATTATTGTTACTTGAGAAAGACTTTTTACTTCACCTTAGCTTTTTTCTGACCTTAAAAAAAAAGCAAAAAAACAAAAACAAAAAGAAAACTTCTAAGCCTTGTGAAATGGTACTATTTTGAAATATTTTAGATGTAAAATTTCACTAAATATTGGTTACTAAAAAATTAGTAGTGTGGGACTTCTTTTTTACTGTATTAGTTCTAACTTAGATCTGCAGGTTTTAGAGGATGATTTAATTCATGTTATATCTCAAAATATACAATGATGATTTGTGGCATGAAAGATTATCCTGCCTTTAAGTTAGTCATGCACAGCAAGCATTGCCTGTGCTTAGAAAATGTTGAATTTGTACCTGGTTCCTTTACATCTCAGCATTGCAGTAGTGATATTATCTACATTAACCAGATGAGAAAACAGGTTGAGAAAGTTAAAATAGTTTGTTTAGAATCATGTAACAAGTGGTGGAGCCAGGAGTGGCACTTAGGTCCTCTTACTCAAAATTATGTGCTATTTTTTGTAGCTCAGTATGGAATGTATCTTTTTTTTTTTTTTTTTTGTAGCTAATATCAGTTTACTTTTTTTTTTTCAAACCAAGGTGGGAATACTAAGTACAGTGACATGATAACAGCAATGATAAGTGTTTATATGAAACTTCAGTTTTGCATTTTCAAAATATACCTTTAATTGAAACCTTTTCAGAAACGAGAAACCACCTGAGTTATTCATTAGAGCTATTTTAAGTTAGGCTGAAAGAGAAAATTACTCAGTTGAGCAAACTAATATGTGCATTGAACTTTGAAACCTGTGAAAGATATTAGATTAGTATGAATTGAAAACAGACCCAGTTATATAGTTCTCATTTGTAACTCTTTGGCTTCAGTTTGAACTRTTTATATTCTAAATGTAATTGAATTATTTATAAGACTTGCTAGTTATATTTTTGTTTTTTCATTTTTCATACAGGGATGAGGTATAAATATGTATATCTCACATAGATATGCACATATATATATGTAAACACATATATATGCACACAGATATATTTAATGTCTTATTATAATTTTTTCCTTCGGTCATTGCCTCTATTAGAATGTCATACTTTTAATGTTTCTCCTATAGCATGTGGCAAAAAATTTTTCATGGTATACTTGAAATTTATTTGTTTAATATTAATCCACTCAACCTCTGACACATCTCTCTCTCTTTTTTTAAACCAACAATAAAATCTGTGTATAAAAATTAGGACGGGAGATATTTAACTGAAACTTTGTTTTAATTAATCTGATTTTAACAGTAGAATATAATGAAATATTTATCAGTACATTTTTATTAGTATACCTTAAAACTTTTCTTGATGTTTCAAAAGCTATTAGGATTATGATTCTATGTATTATTGCGGAGAATGAAAGGTATAGAATGTTAGGTGCAGGACAGGCTGAGTAAGCTGTCTGCAGGGCATGCCAAACAAAGTTAGTTGCAGGGTGACCTGGTCACTCAAACCCTCTGTCTGGCTCTTTATCACCTGTTTGCTTCAAGCCCAAAAGCCCAAGTCCCCACTCAAGGCTGAGCACTTTGCCCCCCCCCCTGCTCAAGGCTGAACACTCAACCCCCACTCAAGGCCAAGCACTTAACCCCCCTTGTGCCAACAAGGCAGCTTGCAGACCCAGAGACCTCATTAGATTTGGGCTATAAAAACTCCCTCCTGCCAGGCCCCTCTCTCTCTTGCTTTCTCTATCTCTCTTGCTATTTCTCTTGCTTTCTCTGTCTCTCTCGTGCGTGCGCGCGCGCGCTCTCTCTCTCTCTCTCTCTCTCTCTCTCTCTCTCTCTCTCTCTCCTTCTCTCTTTTCTCCTCTGTTGCACTGCTGCAATAAAGATCTCTTGGTTGCTCTGAGTGTTGTGGTCACTTCTTTCATTGGTGCCGAAACCCGGGAGAGGGTTAAAACCCACTTTTGGGTCCCTCTTCCTTCGGAAGTGCCACTCACTGGACAGCCTGAACCCATTTTCTCGACCACCAGAACTCCATCCACCACCGGCCTTCGATTGGTGAGTTTCCCCTTCCTGGAGTCCTAAATCCAATGGTGATGTCAGGGCAAACCTCTTTGCCCACCTGCGGAGAGGAAAGCACCCTGTTTCTAAATCAGATGCACATTGGGGTGGGGATAAGGCTCAGTGGTCAAGTGCCCCTGAGTTCAATCACTGACCCCTCTCTCCCACCAAAAAAAGACTTCTTATCACTTTYGATGGGTGATTTTTCCCACAAAGAAGGTGATAGAATTTGGAACATATTGCATTTATTTAACCATGGAGACTTTCTTGTTTTGGGGGGAATCCTGAGATATAGTGAGAAGGTGTGCATGTAGAAAGCATCTTTGAACTTCTAATGTTCTTTTAAAACATGAACATGTATGGGTGCACACGTACGTTATGACTTGGTTTTTAAAATTATTTATGGTAGAAACATTCTTGGGATAAATCAGTCCTTAAACTATATGAACTATTTCTTTAATTATTATTCATGACATTTTAAAGACTACTAATCAGAACAAGAACTCCATAGGTTCAGTGGCATTCAAAAGATGTTGAAGTTTGCAAACAATTTTATAAAGGGAGTAGAAGA